ATTAAAAGTAATGTAATGCTATCTTTTCATAAATGATTCAAAATGCAAAAATTTATTTTATGTAAGCAGGAAGCTAAGTGGTTTTCAGTACACAAAAGAGGAACTGCAAAAGATGAGCTACTTCTGAAAATCAATAGGAGAAATGATCTTTCTCATGAAACATTAAAGGAGATATTTTTGTTAGCCCCAGTTTGTTTTTAAGGTAATACAATTTATCTGGGTGAAAAATGTATTTCTACTATTATAATAAAGATTATCTAACTTAAGTAACATCAGCAGTTACCCAAAATGAAGGTTTTTTTAAATGATGATGAAAAAAATCTCAGTCACTTGTATTCTACTAGAATCTCAGTATCCTAGCTTTACGCTGATTTGTATCCAATTTGAGTAGAAATGGATATGAGTGTTTATCTTCCATAATAGCTTGCCACAAGCCTACTGCTTGAATCATGTAGCATATGGAAAATGTGTTTAGCTACTTGCAGAATTTCTCAAACAAAAAAAGATTCATTTCTGCTCATATGGCTTGTTTACAGTCATTATAAAAGCATGTTACTATGTTGCTTACTAGTTAGGAGAAGCAAGTGTTGGCATACTCCACATTCCATTGCATTAGCCTTTAGGAAATGTACGTATTGATTTTCAGTTATGAAATAGTAAATCATTCTAATTTCTTGTGTTTTAGACCTGAACATTTTAGGATGTATTTTTATTCTTCCACATTATATCTCTTCTAGATATTTTATGGTAGTTATTGACACATTTTACAAAAATATATTAGAGACTGTTCATGCTTATGTGAATTGCCATCACAGGATTAATCTGTAACTTATATGAGCATATTTTATTAATAACAGCTTATCATTAAATTGAATATGGATATTTAACATTTAATAAACACAGAATGTATATGTAGAAATGTACTTCATGCCATTGGGTTTTGAAAATGTGGAAAAGCCATTATAACAGCCTAAGAATCTTTAAACATGCCCCCCATAATATACTAGTTGCAATGTTGCAACTCATTTAAGGAAAAGTTCTTGATTACAATGATTATAATATTTTTGTTTGTCAGCATACTAAACAATATGTCCTCAACGTATGGAAATAAAATGTTTGATACAATTTTTAAAATATAGATTGTACTCTCTCTTAAATTCTGGAAATATATTTGCCATTTAATGATTCATAAATATGAAACTCATAAAGTGAAGGAAGAGAATTCAAAACTATAAATATGAAAAATGATTAATTTTTTTATAGTAGTTTATTCATATTAGTAAAGTAGTATAAGTTGTCTACAAAGCAGTATTTTTTACATGGCTGAATAATTAAAATGTTTTTAATTCACTTTTATCTTTAAAATATCTTGATTACTAAATGACTGTTTCATCATTTATATATAACTACATATACATATATCTATTTATATTTATGTTTGTTTAAATAGTAGATTATAAATGTAAATATGTTTGATATGTATCCTGGCACCAGAAGCCAATTCTTTTTCCTAAATGACAAAAAAGGTTATGTTAGCCTGAAAAAAATTGACTTTTGTTTAGGTTCTGTCATGTACAAAATATTCTAGGCAGCTTCATCTCCATTTTGAACAATTCTACAGTTCAGTCAAAGTTTCTCTAAAATTATTTGGTTCCTCATTTTTATGAAATAAAACGAATATTTAGGGAAACTTTCAATAAGTATTTCACTAATTCTCGCTATTGCTATTTTGTTTAAGTGATTTTGAGATATCATCAAAACATTTTCAAAAGTTCTCTGTATAAAAATACATGTACACATATGTATATGTACATACATTAATAATCTCTTACATGATTACATTCGCATAGTTGAATGGCTTCTTCTGAAAATCCCTTTAACGTTAAGAATACCTGGAGAATAGCAAAGGGAGAACGTCTGCTTTAAAGAATGTTCTGTGTCTGGAAGTAGAGACAAAATTTTCCGAGTATACATGGAATCTAACATTTCCTGGATGATGAATCAATTTTGTAATTACTGAACATACAGTTTATTCCCAGATTGCACATTTCTCACCTGGAACAGAGGCCTGGAGCAGTTGTGTGTATGGGCATAGAGTGTGCATTTATTTCCCAGGCCAGGGGACCAGAATGTGGGTCAATCCAGCAGTGTTGGTGATGAGGCAGGTGGAGCTGTCCCCAGTGCCAGAGGCAGTTCTATCGCTCTTTTATGTGCTCCTTGGGCTACAAAGCTTCTTCACTCCACAAGGCCTTGTACCAGAGCATTGGTCACAACCCTCTTGCTACTCCACCTGGGAAGTAATTTTCTCCCTCCCATAATCAGGGAATATATTTTTCTTAATACAAACTATAAACCTGAATTCAAGAATATTCAGAATTTTGGGAGTATCTTTTTTAAACTGCTCTATTTTCTTAATACAATGCCAAGTTTACTCATAAGCATGAAGATCAAGGATATTGGACTATTAGAGATAGTTCCCATTTAAATTTTTCTGTCTTGAACAAAATCATTGAAATAATCTCTCTATTCAAGAATCTTCTTTTCCCACCACCACTCATCATGTACTCATTTCAACAGAAATTGCTCTCAAAAGATACAAAATCGACCGTTCTTCAATGAATTAGGGCTTAAAATGCAAAATAAGCTGAATTGATATAACTTATACCGACATTATTGAGGGTCTACTGAGTTTCCAGCACTGAACTAAGCCAGATAAAAATTTAATTAAATAAATCACCATGGCTAAAGACCTCCTAGCTTCACAGCACTGAATTAGACTTGATACAGAAGTAACATGTTCTTCACTCTGAAGTGGAAAGCAATGAGATCATAACATATCCTTGAAAATATGGATCTGGATATCACAACAGATAAAACACAGAGACGAATAAATGAATATCAGAAGCCAATTGGATATGTAAGGAAAGTGAATGACTTACAGTGTTGTGGCTTGGAGGATTAGGTAGATTTCACTCCCCATTAACACCTACAGAGTACATGGTGAAAAGTGCTGGCAAGGCTGAGACAGTGAAGCCTTGCTGACAGAGGAAATGGTGATCAAGAACTCAATCAAGTTAATGCTGGTGCTGCAGAAAATTACAAATTAATACATTTTGTGCTGTGGCCCTGATTCCGTCTTTTCAAACTCAGTCATCGCTGTGTAACTTCAGTCTTTGTCACTTTTTGTCTGGACTAAATGGTCTTCTGTTCTCCAGGTTCTATATTACAGCTAACGTAATTATTCCAAAACGAAATATAATCACCTTTCTTGCTTGCTTACATCCTTTCGCTGGTTTCTTATTGCTTATAGGAACAAGCTTAATCTTTTTACCTTGGTATACCAGGTCCTGTATGATATGGCTGTGACTTGTTCTCTCATGTCTGCTCCTATCATTGCCCAGTCTGGCCCTAAACTCTGATCTTACGAAAATGCTAACATGGATTTCACTAAGGATATCATGCTGTTCTATAGTTTCGTGTCTTTGCTTATGCCATTCCTTCTGCATAGGATGCTGTCCTGTCTTCATCTCTTTTAGCTTTTTTCCTTTCCTAAACTTCTGTAACTGGTAGCTCCCCTCGTCTTTCAAGATGCTGTTTAAATATTCTCTGTTTTAGACCTTTTTCTGACCTTTCCCAATAGCAATCTATCATCTGTTATAACTAGACCTTACATCTCTACTAAAACAATTAGAAAAATGGATTTAAGTTATTTACATGTTTGCCTCTTTTATTAGACCATGGGATTTCAGCTAGTTTGGGTTAGAAATAAGACAATGATGCAATGATTCATAGCTTTCTAACAAAATAGATCTGTTGGTATCTATCAATGAATAAAGATGACTATCTTTGACTTTCCCAAATCAAATTTATCTTTCTCAGCAATTTGACTAAGTTACAGGTCACTATTTTATTATGCATTCCACACTTGTGAGAAGATGGTATTCTAGATGTCAAACATATATAAAAGAAGAGAGAACAGTGTAATGAATTCTATTACCCAGTTTCCACAATTATTAACTAATGGCCAACTGTGTTGCCTCTACACTGTCTGTAGCTCCACTCTCTCATCTTCCCTCCAAATATTTGAAGCAAATTCCAGACATAATAACATTTCACTTGCAAATATTACAGTGTGTATTAATATTTCTAAATGATAAGGGCACTTTTAGAAAACATTGATGATACCATTATCACATCTAAAATATTTGCCATTTCCAAATATCACCCAAAAATTAGTGTTCAGTTTTGCACTACTTCTTAGATTTTAAACTGTTTAAATACAAGTGTAGTAAGGTCTATGCTTTGTGAATGGTTGATTTTTTTCTTTTCTTTTTTTTTTTTTAGGGACAATTTTGCTCTGTTACAGATATTTTGTCAATATTCAGAAACATGTTTAGTTTTTACACGAAAGGAGGAGTGCTACTGATATCTTTTGTGTGGAGGCCAGGGATACTGCAAAACATCCTACAATACACAAGGCGGCCACCACAATAGAGAATTATCTAGCGAGACTAGTAAGAGGGTGACATTGAGAAACCCTGATCTATAGGTTCCCCCTGCGTTACATATTGTATTGCAATTTTTTTGTTGAATAAACTGGGTCATTTGTCTTATAAAGTTTTCCACGTCTATATTTTGTTAATGATACAGCGTGGTATAATTTAACATTTTTTTCTGTTTCTTGCATCATCAGATTCATATACAGTTTTCTTTTGCTATCAAAACTGCTTTTTTTACTGTGTCATAGATAGTGTTGTGTACTTCCGTCAGGAGGCACATAATGTCTGATCATCTCTCTCTTTCTCATCAGTATGGGAAACTATTGGTGATCAATGTCTAAATTTGTTAATTCATTAGGAGTTCAAAAATAGTCATATTATATTTTTATAATTTATTCATTTATTGAAAACATCACTGACTCTTAGAAATATTCACTCCAACGTTTGATAGAAAAATAGCATTGTGCATGAAACATTTATGCATTTTGTATTTCTTTTCAGAAACATCCTGTACCACCTTGATGAAAAGACAAGCCGATTTTCAATACTTGTGGAGGCTTGGGAACACTGCAAACCCCTTGCATCAAATGAGACCCTTCAGGAAGCCCTGTCAGAGGTGTTGAACAGCATTAATTCAGCTCAGGTTTACTTCAAAGCAGGACTTGATGTGTTCAGGAGTGTCTTGGATGGGAAGAATTGAGAAAACCCTGAGCATTTTTTAAAGTTTGCTTACAATTCCACAAGCAAAAGCTCTAATTTAACCAGATTTTCTGACACTGAAGGCTTATTTTCCCCCATGACTTTTTGACAAGTATAAAGCTGTTATTACATTGTATTTTTTAAATGTAAATATAAAAAGAACATTTTGCACATTTAATATTTTTTGTATCTACATTTCTGACTATGTAAAGCAAGTTATTGAAATAGGACTTAAGAATTACCTATTAAAAAGAAATCTGATATTTTATATATGTGTGTGTATATATATATACACACACACACATACACACACACTATTTTGAGGAGAAAGTTTCAAGAAGTTCCGGAGTATCTTTGTTCCTATGGGCAGAGCATATAGGAACACAGTTTATTCTCTCTGATAGAGCTATTAATGATCTAGTTTCTGTAAAAGAAATGAAGAGTTGATATGGTTCCGATTAACTTCACTATTAAGTGTTCAGTATGAAGAATTCAAGTATTGTGACTGAGTGATTGGTTGACCTAAACCACTTTGAATGTTTCTATTTTATGAAATGAAGTTTCTCTTCTTAACACAACTAGATGTAGTAATACACTGGTTATGAAATTGTATTTTTTTAAGTATTAATGAAAAAAGAGCCATAAGCATTCCAGGGAAAAATCTCAAGGTAGCTACACAGAGCAATTTAAATGCAAATTTTTTTCGTAACAACTTACAAGGTGACTAGCTTTGAAACCCCTAATTTGCCTCAGTTGATTTTCTAAGAATTTCAGGAGTGATGTATGTCTTAAGAGGGAGAAAAAATATATCTTATTACTTTTTCTCTTGTTTCTTTTGGAAACACTGAAACAGGGACTACTCTAAAATGAAAGCAGCTCACATTGGTTTTCTTTCTTGTATCTTTTCTGAAACTCCTTGCTGTAAGGCAGCTTTCACAGAGTACCATATATTTTCCACAGTAAAGTAGCAAAGTTTCTCTTTGAAACCCAAAATATCTTCTAAAGCATCAAATTTCTATTTCTGCCTCTGACAAAAAGAACTTCCTATGAAAGAAATAGTTGTTTTTATCAATAAAAGCTCCTTAATACTATGAAGAAACTTTTAGTATTTTTTCTTCTTTATCCTTAATTGTGACTAAGATGGAAATCTAGAAAATATTCATGCTTCTAAGTTTCTACAGGGTTACTGTAAGAGAGTGTTTCATCTACACTTCAATTCTTCTCTCATGTGGAAAACTAAGTTTTTTATATTGACATTGTCGTTGAATAGCTCTAGCAATTATTATTATTCTCCCAAACACTAAAATTCTACCTATTAAGTGTCAGCTTAAAGTTCTAGTTTATCTTTAGAAGTTTATTTGAAAAATGGTTTTCGTATACTGGATAAAGCAATTCCCCTTAGGAAACATAGCCTCAGAGTATTTCATATAAATTTTCTCTACCTAATTCAAACATACTTCTCCATCATACACCGTCAGAGCAACATTGCAAATAGTCTGTGTATATTTAAATTTTCACTTTTAATGGATGAGCATAAACCTAGTCTTAGTTTAAAGGCAAACTAAAGTTGAGGGAAGATAATTAATCAATATTCATTAATTGATTTATAAGGTTCAACACTTTCTACCCTAAATTATTTTTATACGCTCAAGGCAAAGCACGGAATTGAGGCAATTAGCTAGATAATTCAAGCAGAAACCCATTTTCATGGAAATTGCCTGTGTACACATATTTTTAGATGAAAAATGAAACTACCTTGCAATATTATTTTTTACCAATTTATTTGTTTGAAAACATTTGCCATGTTGAAGAATGTGTATAGGAAAGGGCTAGAAATAAACAGGATTGTTTATTTAATACAGAGACATTCATGATCTTTCTTCCTCTTCAGAGATCATCAGAAAAGAGGTGGGAATATACATGCAGGTGCATGTGAGCCCAAATGCCAAAAAGTCTTATACCAGAAGAACTTAAATATTTAACCACAGGTTGATGTGTTCATTCCTGTTATTCATTTACAGATGAAATTAAAACAAAGAAAGGCAAACTATTGTCAGTTTGGTAGTTCACTACTTTAGAGCAAATTTCTAAATGAATTTATTCCCATAACCTGCAATAGCACTGAGAGCAGAAAATATGTTTCTTCTTCATCTTTGTTTAAAGATTGCGTACCTAGGTAAGTCACATTGTATAGATAAAAACCTTCTTCTGTATTCCTCATCTCTAAATTAAATGTTATTTGCTATTTGAAAACTGAAGTTAACTATGGTTTTTATTAGTCTATTAAGAGATAAGTGGAGAAATTTAATTATAACTAAAGCAGATGTCCAAAATTCTATACATGCTGCTTTACATCTTTGCAACAAACCTCTTAACTAGCAGCATTATTTCTATAGTGTGATTACCTGAGGGTGCCTCCAAATGTATATCATTTCACTCCCCTCCCCACTCCACCCCCAACAGATCCAAATAAATAAAATCCTGGGCAAGTTAATAGCAAGTGTTATGTGAATTGGTAGTAGGTTTAAATTGTTGCTGAGTTGTCCATATGCCTGGTGCTTCTCAGAATCTTTCATACATAGAATCGTGCCTAGGAAATAATGAATCATGAATATTCTCTGAAGAAAATGCGGCAAAGGCGTAACAGTGAAATTTATGTTCAGGCAGGGTATGCATGAAATACTGCCCTTTATGGAAAAGCGTAAGTCTCAGAATCAAAAGAAAGCCTAAGAAGGATTCTGGTCTAAGCCCTGAGATCTTGCCTTCAGCCAGAGAAGGCACTATCAGTTACCCCCACCAGATGTAATAACTAAACCCAAAGCGAATAAGAAACTTGGACATAGTCGTGTATTTAGTTAGTAACAAAAGCACCACTGGAATTTAAGCTTCTCTGCTTTCTCATGCAGTATATCTTGCTTTTCCCTGAGGAGACAGGGTTATAAATGATCTTTTCCAGTGCATTCTATGTAACCAGCCATTCTATCAGATGTTGCATGGGCTGGTTTTAATTCAAGGCTAGTTCTTTCTCTGACTGTACCTGACAAACCAAACTGTCCCCAGGAATTCAGGCAAAGGAAACAAAGACTGCGTACTTGAGAGAACGTGAGGAGAGTCCTTACAGAACACCAGAAGTCAGGAAGAAGGACATTGAGCAAACTATTTCTGTGAGAGGGCAGTGTTAACTAAACAATCTAAATCACCATTTCTCAAAATGTGAAATTTAGAAAGACAGGGCTAGGAATCTACGTCTTCAGCAGGATTTCTGGATGTTTCTTACACACATTGATGTTTAAGAATTTCCAATCTACATTAATCCTAGGTTCCAACGTAGGTTCCAAGAAAATGCTAGTTGACATTTCTAGATAGATTGAAGAGTCACAGTAACAAGAAAGACATAAATCTTTGTTATTAATGGAATCATTATGAGAAAAGAAAAGTGGACCCATTTTATCCCTAAGAAAACAATTCAGTTGCAGCTTATATTTGCGCTTGCTACATCCCAGGCACTGGTGTTCTAGAATTTTCCCATGTATTTTTTTTTTAATTCCCACAACAACACATTTAAAAATGAGAAAACTAGGATGAGTGACTTGTCCACAGTTCCAAAGCTAATAAAAATGATGAGGCATGTTTCTCTTCTGGGCTCACTGTATTCAGTTCTTTGTTCATACACTGAGTGCTGAAAAAAAAAATCAGACTATTTTCATTCTAGAAAGTGATATAATTGAAAATTTTAACATATTTCTCCAAAACTGATCAGACTCTGCAGTCTGTCATTTTTTTTGGTATAATAAAAGAGTTCGAAGAAACAAATGACATTATTCCTGATGATGGTAGCCCCTTCAACAATGGTGTATATATGTAGGTAAAGTTTGAAGATATCTAAAGAACATGAAAAAGCAAGTGCACCATTGTGGAATATCATGACAAGTAGGCTTACAAACGGTAAAAAGAGACCAGAAACCACAGGTCTTACACTTTCCTTCTCTAAATGCTTACATAATTTCAATTAAAAAAAGAAAAGCAGGTACTGTGATTTAGAACCACAGTTTTATGTTATTTTTTAAAATTCAGAATAACCAGTTGACTTTTTTTAATTAAGTAAATGTAGAGCATATAGTAAGTTTCCCCAGAAGAAAGATAGATGTTCACAAAAATAAAATAAATGCTTATTTGTGACCATCTTACTAATGATGAATCAGCATCTTTGCCTCAAATGAAAGTCTATAATTATTTGTACGACAAATTGGTAGACCTAGCCAAAAATGTTCTCATGAGACATTCTGTGATATGTGTAATTGATTACTCCAAAAATAAAGCTTTCTCTGAGGGTAACACATTGTCATTTCATTGGTTTAATGGGCTATTTAAATGTGCCTTAGCCGCACATTTGCTTAATAGAAAGGAATTATTTTAAACTACCAATCCATATGTTGAGTGGAAAGGAAGTTGGCCCACATATTCCAATAAATATATCAGCAACATAACAGTTTCATCACGGGACCATGGATACAGTGCAGGGAAAAAACAAACAAACAATACAATATTTGAGAAAATAAATATTCTGCCGAGCTACACTAGTGAGTTTTTATTTCTTTTATGAGTTTAAATTATCAACTTTAAAAAGCCTCATTAGAATTTGCTATTCAGAAAGACCTTAAAAACCCTCACAGAGTTCTAAGCATCCCATTCATTGAAAATACTTTTCAGTTAAGTAGATTTGTTTCGTGCACTTCACAATTTTAGGTGACATGAATTTGAAGCGCAGCAAAAGAAATGTATAAAAGATAGCCTTTTCTGGTCATTACCATGTCTACTCAAGTTTCTGTTTTCTAGGTACACTCTAACATTGTAATTTTTCCCCCTGAGAAGTAATTTTAAGATCTATCAGTCTCAATTTAAATGATCTGTTAATCAGCCAGAGTTTTAGTTTCATAATATCGTTCCATTGTCTGACAAAGATATACACACTAAAGTGCCTTTAGCAGGCCTGGGACTGTCAAGAATCTTGGTACCGTGATTACTGCAAGATGACATATTTCTTAAGACATTTATAATCTTATATTTGGATTTAATCTGAATTTACAAATAAAAGGGTTAAATTGAGGCAGTTTCAAGCAGCGTTTAAGAAAATGAAGTGGCTTCAAATTTTAATGTTTCTGGTTAGATTATTTTGTTTAAATTATACAATTATATAATTTTCTGTAACCGAAATGGTAATTTTGATGAATTTTTTAATGCCAAAATCCAATCATCAAGGCCAAAGAAATGCACGATTACTCTGCTGTCTTATGCACGATTCAGTCAAGAATTAACTCAGAGGCATTTGATTCAGGGCTTACATCTAGACAAAGTTTTAATGAGTGCAGACACAGCCTAACAGTATTTCATTTAATTTCTTTGAGGGCTTAAGCCAATAAACACTGCGGTAGCTTTTCTCAGAAGGAAACAGATTTTATTTTCCAGGTGCTAATTAATATGTACCACCTAAGTCCCCAAAGGATCACACAGGTGCCTGTATCCTGCCATATGTCATGTGCTATATTCCTGCAAGCTCAAGAGAATAATATACCATCATTATTATGAATTATTATGTTGCATTGAAGCTAACGTCAGTCTTTTTTTCTAATTAAAGTACAAACTTGGCATGTGAATAGAAGCTTAGCTAGAGAAGTGGAGTTAGAGTCCCTATTTTAATGAACTACATATATTTTTCAATCAAAATGTTTAATTATTTAATTATCTAGCCTGCTTGGTAATCATAACTCTCCAACTTCTTCAAAAGACCTTTATTCAATATGTTACCACTCATATGGTCATTACTTGGTGTGTGTTTTATATTTTGAATTTCTTAGATGCTTTCAGTGTATGTGCTGGTGTTTTATTAATACTAAAAATTTTTGTTTACTTCTATATCAAACTGCCGCAAAAGGAATATCTTATTTTGAAAGTTAGAATAAAATGCTATTGCTCTCTAAGCAGAACTTTAGCATATCTGTTTGAGAAGAAACACAAACAAAATATTTTTCTACGCTATTACAAATGGTCCGCAAGAAACAAAATGCCAGATGGTTAAGTGTAGCTCACATAATTATATTCCAAAGATGTTATAAATAATTCTATTTAGCATCTGAGATAGGTCTCTATTAGGCAATTTCATGTTTACATTTCTAACAGAAAGGTTTAATGGTAAATACATGCCTTATATTCTAACTTGCTACTTGGAGAATATGGATATTCTGAAAAGAAAAACTCTTTCTAGAACACTTTGCAGGGCTAATTTTTTTTTATAGACATCTAGAAAATAGCCTGGCAACAAAGTGAAACCCTGTCTCTCTCTCTAAAAAAAAAGTTACTAGGGAGGCTGAGGCGGAAGAATCATTTGGGCCCGAGAGTTTGAAGCTGCAGTGAGCTAAAATCATGCCACTGTAGTCCAACCTGTGTAACAGACAGAACCTATCTCAAAAAAAAAAAAAAAAAAAAAGAAAGGAAAAGAAAAGAAAGTCACATGCTGTTGATAATAGTTTTATATGTGTTTGGAATATTAATATGGGATACATACATTTAAATGCATTTAATACTTTAATCATATATGCAATGTAGCAACATTTAGATATGTAAGATTTTAGAAGTAAAATCTCAGTGGTATAACATTTAAAACACAGCCTTAAAATGAAGAATAGGGAAGAGCAGGAGAAAATTTATAAATTAACCTAAGGTAAAATTTGGAGGAAAATTTTTCCAAATAAATTTGCTTTGGTTAAAAACAAATATCTCTCAAGAATTGCCCCAATTACTAAATTATGTTGAACTGTTTTGGTGTTTAGCCTTGTTCAAAATAGTTTGATTATCATCTGTGATTCAGAAATATTTTCATTGTACAGAGATTTCATTGTCATTGTAGTTGTTGTAACTGATTTTTAATGATATTGATTTAAAGGCATTTGTCTGTAGTTTTAAAATTACTATATAGGGTTGAATGTCTAATTTCTATAATGTGTGGATGCCCATCAGATATTTACTACATTCTATATTTAGCCAAGTGTGATCACAATTTATTTTATAACTTTTTATGTGTTACATAACTCAATGTGCATCTTACTTAAGAAATTATGTTGTAATTTGGAGTGACACAAATAGGTTGAGATATCACACCCATTAAAAATATAACTGAATATTTTATATTTAAGTTGTTTAAATATTTGCACATTATTGAAAACATAGTACTATGAAATGAAGGCACCATTTAAAAAACGTGTTCTGAGTCACAAATTTCATGAATGTGTACAGTGAAATGTTAGTGTTTAAAGCACCCATTTTGAAATTATTAAATACAGGTAAAAACATTGCTATACTGTGTTTTTCCCATTTTGAAATTATTAAATACAGGTAAAAACATTGCTATACTGTGTTTTTATGACAAAATATACAGTATTTTGTGTACGCAAATGAATTAGTTATTACTCTATTTTATTAATGAATTATTTTTATATAATATGTATGACACCCAAACAGATGTTCCCTTGTTTAGGGAAAATTCTATGATATTTTATCATCTTTTTTGTCCTTGCCTTCCATTCTTTTCTTGAAAATTTAATTATCATATTGGGCCATTTAGATTTGTAGTTTGTGACAAGTTCGACCATCAAATAACAGTACCTGTATCAACTGCAATGTTAAACAGTTTTATTTTCTCAAATTTGCTCTAAAAAATCTTCTCTGTTATTTTTCACATAGAAAAGAATTTTCTGTTTGCACGGTGAGTGTAATAGATTTCATTCATTTATTCATTCAGGAAATATTTGCTAAAAATCTCTTCTAGACCAGGCACCGTATCAGGCACTAGTGATACAGAGATGATTAGCACAGATGAGCACAATTTTACTTTTGGAGTTTCACAGTCAAATAGGATACAACACTTCAGTTTAACTAGTAGCAGTATCCATGGATAGTATAGTTTATTGCAAACGTATTGGCAGAGCAGAGATGGTTTAGAGGTGCCATATGCTCAGGCCACATGCCAGTCCCACTGGACCTTCCTTAAGACTCTCTAAATCACAGTGTTCTTTCTCTAACATCTCTGCTATACAATAGCCTGCATTTATTAGGGGCATAGCACTGTGTCAGACTCTGGTTGCCAAGCATCACTTGGATGAAATCTTTTAACCTTTAAAATAACCTATGAGATAGGTGTTATATCATTTTGTTCCATTTGATGGATGAAAAAACTAATGGTTAGGGAGATTAACAACTGTGATAGTTATTATATTACTATATACATACAACTACATAGCTATAAAAAACTTTTTAAAAATCTGCAGGAATATATATATATACCTTGTGTGTATGTAGACACACACAAAGGAGGTAAAATTAAAACAACACATAAAGTTGTGTATTACTTATGGATACGTATATATGTATTCAAAATATTAAAATCCAGACTGAAAAAATAAACACCTTGTTTAATTCACGATAGTAGGAGGGAAACAAGTGCTAAGGATATGATACAGAGGACAGCTTTAACTGTAATGCTTTATTTCTTGTATATATAAAAAGGAGTTGAAGCAAATACAATAAAACAGTAGGTGGTAGATTAGATTATTGTTCTTATTTCTTTTCATCCTCCCTTGTCAATTTAGGTGGTAGGCACATGTGTGTTTATGTAATTCTTCTTATATTTGTGAATTAAAAATAAAACTCTCAAAGTAACATAAAATCCTAATAAAGTGGTCTGATTCTGGAGCCCACACTTACAGCCACTAATCTAATCTGCCTTTGAAAATTTTATAAGCATGGTCTCTTTCTTGTCTTTTTCTTCAACTATGCTAATCTTATAAAAGCTGCTTCCATAAGGCATTTTTCTGACATTCTAAATGCTTATAGTTGTAATTTCAATGCGGTTACATTTATTATCCAATTTTTTTCTCTTCAGTTCTTCTCTATCTCGGTAAATACACCAGATTCTCAAATCACGAAATAAAAATCATCTGTGATTCTTCTCTTTACCTCTCTGCTTACATCCAATCCATCATGACGTTGGCTTGCCACAAAATACAGCTCAACTCTGCACATTTCTCCATCACCACTGCTGCCATCCTACTCAATGCCACCATCTTTTCTCCCCTGCATTACACTAGTCATTATATCTATTTCAAGCAAAAGAGATTTTAAAACAGGAAAATGATTAGGAATTTATTAAATGTCCAGAGTAATGAAAATGTAAAAATGCTGTTTTTCAGAGACAGTAACTGCAGGAAACCACTACTGAGCTTAGCGCTGGAGAAGCATAAAGGAAGAAATCTATGATAACCCAGGAGCTAACGTTCTACTGACACTCCTGGAAACTGTTGCTGCTGTTGGTGTAACCACTGCATGCCAGACTTAAACAACTGCCACAGTGTAGATCAGAAGCTTGGGAGTCTCTCCTCCCTCAGACTCCCCTACTAGAAGCACGAAAAACAAAATGAAACAGCTTCCACATGTTTTTACCTTTTAATCCTTATAAGTGCCTCTCATTGGCAGATCCAACTGGGATCCAGCTGGCACAAGGGTCTGTGGAATGTGCATGCATGTTCCCAGCTTTAACATTATGAGAGAGGATATAGGAGGTGGGTATGGGGGTGTGTCCATACAGACCATGGCTGACACAGTCTTCAAAATGATTTTTATAGGAAAGCATAAATGAGTGCACATACCTAACTCTTATATCTTGCATGTATCAAAATTCCTTGGTTTTTTTTTCTCTGAAACTATGTAGCGAATTTAATCATATAATATATAATAAAATAACATAAAATGGCTTTAGTGTAACTGTTCCATGCTAATTTATAACCAACAGGGTGATTAACTTGAGTGCAGAGCTAAGAGAGCAAAAGACTTGTAGACACACAGCCTTACGTTTTTAAAAGGAGGTCTATGTAAGGTGATATCAGAGCAGAGAATAAAAATAATAAAATCTTGTAGAAGCCAAGAAAGGTTTCTCAAAGGAGACAATATTTGCGTTGTGTCTGAAGGTTAACAGAAGTACTTCAGCAGGAAAAGGAGAATGATGGCATCCCAGAAAAAGGGAACAGCGTATCCAAGTCACACAGGATAAAGGACAGGACATTCCCTTAGTTTTCTGCTTCAAAGTTTCTGTTTCTTTTTCTCACCCTCAGCAAAGACTGGAATTTTTATATTATGGTTTTTGTGAACAGAACAACTTCCGGACTGCTTATATTTTAATTTTGACACCATGTGATATTATAAAACATTTAATGTGACTAACTTAGAAAGAAAATAAACTGAAGAGATATTTATCATAACATGGAAGTCATAGTATTAGTAGTTTCCCATCATATTCGGCATAAAATTCGTATGTCTTAGGATGATTTCTAAGACCTTTCCCGCTGACTCCCACTCTTCGCTTTCCTTCTCAGTGCTTACCTCTTTTCCAACCCACATTTTATACTACAGCCTAATTTGAAGAGCCCAGGTTTTCCTGTATGTGCCATGCTTTCTCATATCTCAGTACCTTTGTGACTGCTTTCACTCTTACAGTGGAACAACCCTCTGTTATGCATATACCATGGACATCTATTTTTTCTAAAATAAGATCTTATTGATAAAGACATTTCAAATTTTCTGTGGAAAATTATTCAAACCTGCCTCATAGCACATTATATTGTCATGTGGGGTTCTTATAGTTCCTGGGATGTGATGAGTTAATTCTTTGTTGAGTCTTTAAGCCACCCTAAATTATGTCTGTAATTTTGTCTTTGATTAAGCTACATAGGCTTGGTTTCTCTTATTCCCCGCCCCTGCCAAAAAAAAAAAAAAAAAAAGAGAAGAAAAAGTTTTTAAAAAATCCCACCAGATTTCTGGAAAAAATAGATATAAGTCCAGAGAAAAAATTATGCAAATTAACACTGCATTGCTAACTGGGGTGTCAGCCCTAAGTCCTTTTTTTATTTGAGCATCTTGGCTATACATGGAAAAAAATCTTCAGTTTACATTGTTTGGCCTGAATAACTTAGGAGACTGAAAGTATTGCTCTGCCTATTCAACATGAAAACCCAAAGTCATAAACAATTTGAGTTCTTCTTTGTTTGCTTCAAATATGTGGTAATCACTTTCATTCTTTCTTCTTTATTCTCAGCAGGTCGTTTCACTTCTTCCTTCCCCAAACGTAGAAACTTAACTGTATTTCCATGCAAAGTATCTTCCTTTCTTCCTAAAATATTAGATGTCTTGCATATTCAATTCCATTTAAGAAAAGAGAACATCATGGACAACAAGAACAATAAAGTCAATAGCCTATCTCCATTCTACTTCCATATATAGGTACTTACCTTCCTTTGCCTCTCAGTCATAATTAAACTTTTTTCAGACACTAAATGTCATTATGCTTTTTCCTTCATCTCCTGCTAATGCTCCAATCCTGGACAATCTGGCTGGAATTCTCAATATTTTACTCATCAAAGATTTAAATAAGTGCAATATAACCTTTCTAAGGGAGGTTAACTATAATTTATTGTACAAATTAGGACACTTTCTTAAAGGCAAAAGTATGCATTATTAATAATTATTCTAGAAAATCAGAAGTTGGGTATATCATGGATCAGGACATATGATCACCCTTTTATCTCCAAGGCACTATGTGTAATGAAAGTGTTTAAATTCTCATGTTGTATGACTCTAGTGATATTAAAGTCTTTTGACATTTCTACTTCCTTAAAATATTTACCCCATGACTTTCAATAAGCAGCATTTATTAGCCTAGTTTCTCTCATTTAGAGTGCTGATGGAACTGTCATAGTGGTGCCTGACTGGAGGCTGCCAAGAGCAAAGGTAAAGGGTGTAACAGCTTACTATGACCTGTATGGCTCATTGACATTGGCAGAAGACACTACTCAAAGCTTCTCCACAGGGAGGGAAGGAGAGGAGCAGAGTTTGCCTCATAGGTCACAATCCATGGCATAATAATCAGACACCAGAAGGAACTGATTATAGGCTCCTGAAAAATAAATAAATAAATAAAAGAAATAAAAAAAAGAAACCTATCTAATTAAAAATCTATCTAATTAGAAATCTATAAGCACAAAATTTACAGAAGACACGTCCAGAGAAAAAGTCTGAGTGGATCCCAGAATCTCCAACTGGGAAGATTAGTGAAGGCCTTTTTTTTTTTTTTTTTTTTTTCCATGTTTAATCCAGTCCATAAAGGTTGGGGAGACAGTCATTTCTTCAAATGTGTGGATATCAATGCAACAAACAAGTAACAAGAAGAGTCAGGGAAATATGACCCAGTCAGAGGAACAACATAAATTTTGCGTAATAAACCCTAAAGAAATGGAGTCCTATG